GGGGGAAAGAGGCAGTGGGGAAGGAAGGGGGTGGGGTGGGGAGGAGATGGGGCAGTGGGGAAGGGGCATGGGGGACGCTGGAGCCCAGCATGTGGAAGGCATCCCCTTGGCAGAAGCTGGGGCTCCCCTGTTAAGCAGACCCATCAAACCCTCACCCTGACAAGCCCCACCTCCCCTGCATCTGTACCACCCCAATGAGCCCCCAGACACCCTCCCCACTGAGCCCCAAACACCTGCACCTGGACCCCCTGCAGAGTCCCATTGCCTCTGCACCTGGCACCTCTCTGTGCATGCAGATCCCACACTGAGCCACCTGCACCCAGACAACTCTCCTACCCCCACCTGGATCCCCCCACACCTAGTCCCTCTTGCATCGGTGCAGCTGAGCCACTCTAGCGATTCTGGTGAAGACGCTCTAAGCCAACAAGAGAGAGCTCTCCCATTGGCTTAATATCTCCACCTCTGTGAAAGGTTACAGCTATGCTGGAGGGAGAAGATTTCCTGCCGACACAGCGCTGTCTACTGGGGGTTAGGTTGGTAGAACTGCGTCGCACAGGGGATTTTTTCACACCCATGAGCAACTTGTTATATCAAAGTAAGTGTGTGAGGTAGACCTGGCCTTGTAAATCAAAGAACCAGCTGATGGCCCTATTAGCACCTTCACAGCTCTCCATTCTCTCCTTCCCCTGACCCGAAGAAGAGTCCTGTATAGATTAAAAGCTTGTCTCTTTCACCAACAGAAGTTGATCCAAATAAAAGCTATCCCCGCACCCACCTTTAATATCCTGGAACTGACATAGATACAGCTACATCGCAAACAACCTTTTCCCCATGGAAAGTAACGTGTTGACTTAAAATGCACCTTAATGACTGATCTCACAGAGAGAACAGGGAGTTTCGAGAGGGAGTTCTCCAGGTGAAGGAGGAGCAAATACAGGACCCTTGGGGTAAGTGGCTGTCTGTAGTGTGTGTTTGTGTTTGGGGGTTACTTGCTGTGTGCTGAGCTTGTGTTTGTCAGTCTGTTTGTTTGTTTGGTTGTTTGAAGGACCGTGTGCTGTGGCTGGCAGTTGGAAGCTGTGAGCTTCAAAGGAAGGTCTGAAAGCTAGAAGCCTCTGGTAATTGGCTGAGCCTTAATCAGTGGGCGGGGCATTCACCCAGGCCAGGGCTCTATAAAGCAGCGCACAAGCGACCAGGGGCTGCTAACAGGGAGTTTCGCAAGGGAGTTTGGAAGGGGAGTGGGAAGGGAGCGAGGGCCTTTATTCCCCTTAAAACCTATAAACCAAACTACATTCAAAACTTCTTGCTTTAAACAACCCTTTCATTAACTAGGAGACAATGCAGGCAGAAGCCCAGCTGCAGAGTGGGGGTTATCCAGTTTATTGCACTGAGTGTAGCATGTACAATTACCTGCCCTGTGGGCGGGTGGCGTATGTGTGCATTCGGTGCAAGGAGCTCCTGGCCCTCAGAGACCACGTACGGACTTTGGAGGCTAGGGTGGCGGAACTGGAGGAGCTAAGGGAGGCAGAGAGGTATGTTGATGAGGCTTTCTGGGACACTGTAGAATTGTCCCGGCCGTCTCCTCGCCCCTGTAGGGGGGTAGTGTCCCCGCCCGCTTCAGCATGTCCCACCAGCCACTGCAGGCCAGGTAAGGAGCCGAGTTCCCCCTCCCCCCGGCTCCTCAGCTGAGCCCCCCCATCCTCCCTCCTGGGGGAGCAGCCCCCCTTGCCAGCCCCCCTTGCCCACCCGGTGCTGGAGCTCGTACTCACCAGCAGCTCCCAGGAACTGGAAGCCGGCCACCACCCCCTCCC